AAAGTTATTCCCATTTTTTGATTATTCACTAGCAATGGATAAAAAGCCAAGGAAAAGAGAAAGCATTAAATAATAGTAGTCAATTTAGCAAAAAAAAAAGATCCACCGAAAAGGATTTTCCCTAACAACTCGATTATCAGAATGCCAGTGGTTTTAATCCGATGATATTTAGCGACTTAAAATTTATTAACAAACAAACAAAGAATACTTACTGCTTGTTTCTTACAGCTTCCTCCCGCAGCTTCTGAGTCTTTTCTTTTAACAACAATAGTGTATCCAAATTCTGCTCTTCTTGTGTCTTTGAAACAACTTTATCCTGATTTAAGAAAAATATCCGGTCACTCTCATGTTAGAAAACAAAGTTCGAAGTCAAAGTTAACATGTTTGTTATGTATGAATTATGAAGTACAAACTGAGCAAAAAAAAGCTTACAACACCAAGTTCGATCTAGTAAATGCAAAGAAATATGCTAATAGAAAAATGATAAATCAATTAAATTAATATAGTAATCATGATTCGATGAAAATTCGAAAATGATCTTAGAATTCAAAACTTGTAACAAAATATTGCAATATGGATTTACTTCAAACTAAACAATTCAAAACTTATGAAATTAGAACAAAAACGGCATGATGATGTTAATGAATTCTGCATGTTTCTTACATCTAAAAATCAAGCAAATAAAATCCATCAAACAGCCGGAAATAGTTACTGAAATGCGAATATCATTTCAAAATTATGATTTGACTTTAGCAGTGTCAATTTCTTTTCTAGTGATTGTGCCTTTATTTAACTACAAAGCGTATATAAGAAAAATAAACTTCAGGTTATATTTTATAGCTTTTAAAACAGAAAATCAGGCACGGTACCACAAATCACATCAAAAATAGTCGAATCGCTAATTTAACTAACACGCCATTGAATACGTAGAAATATTCTGACAGAACATCCTCCATGCGCACTCAAATTTATGTCAAATAAATCAAAGTATTTATTATGTCAAACAACATAAAATATGCTAACTTGAAGAAACGTTGCTTCAGGAAGTTGTGATGCAGAGAACAAACCGCTACCCATATTCGCAATACCCTGCGGCATAGCAGCTACTGCACCAACAGCGGTTTTTGCATGGCTTGCTGCTACTTTAACACTGGTTTGGATACCAGTCTGTAGTGTACCTGTAAAACGCTGCTATAAAATTGATACAAGAAATTATAATTATTTAGTTTTAAAAAATAATAAATGAAAATGGAAAACATATGCTAGTTTCGAGGTGTTTCAATATACATCCTAAAATATTTCATTTGTCGGGTCTTATCACGTTCTATTCAAACGAAGAAAATAAACCCATGTTTCACAAAATTATCAGTAATGCTAGAAAAGAGATAATAATGCTACTTTAAAGTAATATACCATTCATTAAATCATAAAACGAGGAAAATAATTACTTAAGGAAAAAACATATTGCTCAACAACGACTTTCTCAACTATTAGTGCATTCCGTTTCAAAAAGCTGTCTGTTGGTATAACTATAGATGATAACTCATTTATATTATCTATGTCTTGTTTTTCCAACAATATTCAGTTTCTCTATTATTTATTGTCTTGTAATAATAAACCAAGCAATTTATTATCCAACAATTTAACTGAAAGTACCAATTTTTATCTCAAATATAAATTAAGGCCTTTGTGTTAAAGAATAACACGTGCCAGGAAGTAATGTTCCTCTAACATTCAGTATCGCCTAAACAAAAAAAGCACTCTCAGCTGGTTATTATGCCAATCTCGACGAATCTGCAGTAAGACGAGCACTTAGTCTATGGCTAATACTAAATTTTAACAATTTGAAGTAACATACTCAATTCTATCTTACCTGCAACAGCTTTGCTCTGGGAAACAACACCTTGAGCAACTGATTTTGTTCCACTTACTGCTGAGTGTGTCATACGTTCGGCCCCAGAAGTCACCGATCCACGAATTGTGTTTGCATGAGTACTGAAACAATTATTTTTTGAAATTTACTTATAATAGAGTAAATTTTTGTTCCATATTTCAAAGATCGACTAGAAACAGCAATAAATTTCCAGGACAAGCAAGTGTAATTATGATAAACATTTGGAAACAAAATATTAATTTGTGTTCCAGTCCAGAAAAAATACACAACAAAGAAATTATAAGAATAATTGATTTCACGGACAAAAACCAACCTTAACGTCCTCCCTAGCTTAGAAAATGGATTAAAGGTTAACCCAGTACGCGCACTGTCCATGCTGGTTGAAGGCTGCGAAGAATACTGCTGCTTGTTCTCACCACTCCTGTCCGAAATTTATATTTACCTCCAAAGATATTTGATTTCTGAGAATCTTCATGAATATCACTAACATAGAAATGATCAAAATTTAGAAAAATCAAGCTCAGCAGTAGCATAAATTACTCACTTAGAAACAAACGTTCTGTTCATTTCATCATCTTTCTGCCCTAAAAGAATAATGTGTAAAATAGCAAATGAATAACAAAATAAATGCAATAGAAATGACGTAGTAAGAAGAAAAGTTTTTTTTTAAGTTCCGATTTTTTTAAATTAAAATAAAAATCTGAAAGAACACAATGATGTGTCACATGTAAATTGTTTCGGATCGTTCCACAGATCAGAATAGCTGCGTGGTCGAGATATATTTGTCGTAGCTTCATCTAATTTATTTCCTTTTTTGACAGCCAGGGTAGATTTAAAATCTGACCTAACAACTATATGTCCAATCTGCAATAGGGAATAACTAAATCCCCTTAAACTGACAAAATATAGCAATAATTCTTTTGAAGAAGAAATAATTCTTACAAATAAAAAGATTTCATTCCGAAAAATATAAGAAAAAATACCTCAGGAAACTTCGAAACAACTCTTTCATAATTCAATGACATAAAGTAGCTTATAAAATCCAAAATTAGTTTTCCTATAGTTAAGAAGCTAATCTTTTCTGATTTTAGCATTTATCGTCATTTAATATTTCAGAAAGCCCCAATCGGTTGATATCATATAAGATGTACACCGTTACATAGCCGAAAAATGAAATGAATATCGGAAAGCAAATTATATAAATATCAAAAAGTTTGAATATTTTTATCTCTAGTGAATTGAAGATGTGCTATTTCATAATAGCAAAAAATCAAAGAATAGAACTCATAAAAGACAAAAACATTTTTGACCACAATCCTACTTATGGTAACAGTTTGGAAAGATATGTTTTTGAAAACTGAAAAGACTTTTATGCAATTTTCCTAAAATACTGCATAATCAAAAAACATCTTCCTTTTTCAAACTGCCGCTATATAACTGTACTTCATAATGCACCTACCTCTTGACTTCCTTTTCGCTTCATTTCTAAATCCATGTCATCAAAAAAAATTCTTGGCAAGTGACGAACTGAAATTATGCACAGTTGCCATTATTATTTCTGTTATGATCATTATTATTATCAATACTACAAAAGTTTTTATTCTTTAACCTGCAAGATAATTAAAATGTAGGTGCTACTACAGTAATTGATGTAATAGCATTTTGAGTATGATTGACATTAGACTTCTTGCGCAGTTCAGTATGGCATAGAATATCTTCTAGTGATCGACAGAGAGTTAAGACACTGTCACCATTCAAGTAATGTAATTTTACTATCTTCATCCAAAATCAAAAATATTATTACAAATCCATTTGAAGCCATTTACTCTAATAAAACTTAATTTCCCCGTTTACGGCTTGTAAGAAAACGGACAATAATATGTCAATAAATTCATTCATAATTCATGATTCCTAAGGAAGACAACAACAGGAGTTAGAAACATTGATTACAAGTTAATAAACTTTTAAATTCAAATGGAAGGAATATTTATGAGAATATGAAAAGTTAAAAACTAATTTGACACGTTGTTAACAAGTGAAAACAAGTGAAAATAAATGGTAAAATAGGGGAAGAAATAAATACCTGTATTTTTACAAATTTCATCGACCAAATTCTTCGATGTTTTGTTCACAATTTTCTCCTGGAAGTTGTTTAAAGGAAATAAGATTAAACTTCGTCTAATATTCTTTGTATTTTTTAGTATTATTGCTCACAAACTACTTTTTTCCGGAATTTATAAAGCTGAAAAATGAAGACCTTCGGAAACATTTCTGTGGCTCAATAAAATATATATTGCAAAAATTAATTTGCAAAAAGTAAGGAAAGTAATAAATGATTACAAACTCAAAAATCTAATTTGATGTAAAAAGTTAACTAACAGTTGCAGGAATAGTAGAACATTCAGGAATGGAAGAATCTTGATGAGTGAGATCATGAACTTCTCCATCGTTCCTAACATCGCTTAATACCGTCGCACTCTTAAACATTGTCACAGACATCACTTCTTCCATCCTATAAAAAATGAGCAAAACTTTACAAAATTGTGGAATCTGAAATTAACTGACATTAATTTCAATTCCAAAAATTTGGCATTCAAAACTTTCAACATTAGAACAATGTAAGCAAATATTTTAGTAGTTGCTGTGAGCAACATTGTATCCTAGATATTTAAAGATTTAAGAATGGAAACAAAAGATTTTGTACATCCGTTACTGCGCTGAATTTAAAGACGAGGATGTGATCTTTTGACGAGAATAGCAGAAAATGTAAACTAATAATTACATATAATAACATTAGACTTGCTAAATTTCTACCAATTAAACAGATGTAATTTTGTGGCTTATTGTTATCAATTACGGAACCTAATAAGCTAACCGAGCCATCATGATATATAAATCCTGTCCATTCTCAAGAACCAGAGGATGTACAACATCCGGATCGAACATTAAGGCATTAGGTGTCACCAGCAAAGTGCCTGTCACTGTTCCATCCATTTCAGTCATTTGTTTCACCTTCAAATTGAATTAGTTGAGTTATATAAACGGTAAATATAAGAAGTAAATATAAGAACTAAAATGCGAAATGTACTTCCTTCGCTTTTATTTCTACTATTCTACACTTATCTCTTCTATCCTACAAAAGCAGTTAGAAACTTCGAGATTAACTGTCCAAAAGAAAACTGTCTGCAATAAAGAACTGAAAACTCCAGCAAGTGTTACTTTTGCTCCCTTCCATGCGTAAAACAATTCTTTCTGTAAAAATTGCTTTCTTTCTTACATTCATACCTTTAGCTTGATGAATTTCTTCATACAATCCGTGTCAGCTTCTTCTTCTGCCAAATCGACTTCCTTCGAACATATTTTAGACACATTTTGTTTTTCCAGTTCAGTTTTTGAAGGTTCCGATGTCATTGCAGCACGGCCACATACTTGAACTGCCATTCCAGGTCCGCGTGGAATTCCACTTCTTTCTGCAAAATTACATCAAGTAAATTGATTATACTCGTATTTATCTTTTAAATTATCATTCGTAAATAGTTTAAATGGGAAAAAAGGTTTACAGAGAAAGATAATAAAAATGGGCATTGCCTCTTTTTTAATGACATTAATGGAAATTTAAATTTCGGAAAATATATATGTGCATTGATGGAAAAAGTTGTACAAAATTAGGCTATGCAGTAATATAAGTTTTGAATAGAATATAACATGATTGGAATTCTCTAGGCATTATTTGTGGATTTCAAACATCAAACGCTATTTAAATTTCGGAAAATGTATATGTACATTATTGGAAAAGTCTAATACAAAAAAAAATGTATATTAAAATTAGAAAAACTGATAGAATAACTATAGAAGTAACAAGTGCTCATATTCAGGAAAAGCAAATGGAATAAAAATATATTTCTGTAAAAGATTGATCAAATTCGCTTTAAAAATCGATTCAATGATTTACTGTAGGCATTCATTCGGATAGGATATGGATGCACAACAGATGGATATGATAAGCGCATAAAAGTTAAGAATTTATCCAAAAAAGAATGAAACATGTAAAAATTGCACAGCTGATGTGATCGTCTCTTCAGTTCCCTAAAATGTAATATCCCAAATTTAAATTCTGCAAATTCTAACGAGACCAAATTATTTTCATTTAATCAATACGTATTATTTTTGCTAACCACTTGAATGTGCGTTGCTTCCTGAAGCTATTGTAGCTTGATTTGCAGAGCGATGATTTCCCGAAATAACATTTTCATCGACCGGACAAGGTACAAGAAGCTTTTGTCCGGGGAATACCTTCAACATCACATTATTATCTTACAAAATTTCAGTGAAACGTAATCTTATGTATTGCAATTAATACATTTTATTACTAACATCACGCACGAACAAAAAATCGTTAAGCTATTTCAAAATAATTATAACTGAAATCTTTCAAATCACTTTGAATGCTTTCCTATTTACAAAAATCAGAATATTTTTATTGTTTTATCCACAGGACATAATGCTACATATGCAATAAGTGATGATACTTCTTAATAATAAATCTACACATCAGAAAGAGACAAGCATCACTTTCTCGAAAGAGAATCATGATAGCAGAACATACATTGCTCTACTTAAGTTGAATTCAGAATAGATCAGATACGATTTAATAAGCGACCAAATAAGCGATTTTTTTTTTAAACTCTTGTAGACGAATTCAATCTACATAGTGCTCTGAATTAAAGTGGCTCCTGAATATTTAAAACCAGATATTAACGTCAAAAAATTGTTAAATTTACCATTCGCGTTGTAAGTCGATTCATCTTCATCAGATCACCAACAGTACAATCATGTACTGCAGCAATTCGCTCAATCGAGTCTGATTGCGTTACCATGTACTCCATCTAAAAATGAAAAACAGAATACCGAAAATAAGAAATTTACCTTTTAAAATCTTAAATGATAGATATATATTTTGAAAATTATTTTAAAAACACTATTTTGTAAAAGCAACCGGAAATTTATAAAAATGTAATATCACTCTTGTAGCAAAAATTTTAATTTGAATTCGATTTGAATAAGACGATTAGCTTAGCTGTCAAAATATCAACTTATTTAAAAAATCGATCGTTAAAATCACAAGTATTCTCTTAAACTGCGACTAACCAAGTCCTTATTCAAACTCTCAAGCAATTATTTCAATCATCGAAAACCAAGAAATTCCTACTAACACTATCATTGTCAAGTAATTGCGCATGAAACAAAAACTGTTCAATCGAAAATTTTGACAACATTTTTTGGTGTCACGAACCGGCAGGTGTCAACCTCTCTAGTTAAATCAGCACAACGAACAATAGAAAGGATTATAAGACTTCTCGACGATATCAAGAATCTTGATTTAACACCATCAGATCGAAATCTACCACAGGAACAACAACAGATCAAAGAAACGGATCGTCAAAGACAAAATCTTTGAATTATAAAACGCAAAACGCTTTGAATTATACAATGACATATTCGAATCAATCAATCAAAGATGGCTGTACATTACACAACAATTGACAATATCGAAAAAGAAAGAAGAGAAATATGAGAAAATAGTTGACGACAAGTAAGGTATTTTAAACTTAAAAAATAGTAGCACGGAAGTCATCATCTTGAATTCATAGCATAATGATCCAATAGACATCAAGGAGACACCCTCATCCATTTCCCATGCCACTGCAAATCTTCAGCCGTGATTCAAAAATGTGACGTGAATTCCGGAGCAACATCAATGCAGCTATACTTCTTCAAAAAATTTCAGACATTCAAAAATTCAGTTATTTGATTTCATATCTAAAAGGAGATGCCTTATAAGTTGTGAGAGGCTATGATATCGCTGCAAAATAGGAATTGATAATACAGGTTTTAAATCGCCATATAGAGAACTTCATTTTATTAAAAGAAACGATAAAGAATGAAAAGTCGATCAATTAAAAACAGAAGAGGAGACTTGGGCAGTGATAATCTTCCACAATTCCCAATGAAATTAGCCCAAAGAAACAAAGTAACTAGGAACCAAAGTCTTAATAAAGAATGAAACTCGAACTGAGTCCCTAAAGTACTAAGGGACAAATCTCCGCTTTGTTAATAATCCAAATTATCCTGATTAAGTGGTCCTGAGTCAACTGCATATTCAAAGAAAATTACGGAAGGTAAAAAAACCTTGCACCTTTTTCTAATAAGAATCATTTTGCGCTTATTTTACTCTCAAACAACAGATGGAATGCTTGAGGGAAAACAATGCTTGCCCTTGATCGGCTATCAACTGCAACAAAAGCAAGCATTCATGTTTTCCTTGCAAAGGTCCTCACAATACTACGCTACGTCACATTAAATACAGGGATTGCGCACAATACAAGAAAAAAAAATAGATCAATAATTATGGTTACTACAATAATAAAACAAAGAGATCAAAAATTATTGGCCGAAACAAAATCTACAATATTCTGGTATAAAATTTAAAAATTATGGATCGTAGGAAAAGAATCTCTATGGTTAAAAGAAAAGAACAACAATCAATTACAGCTAGAAGTTTTCCGCGATAAGTGGAAATTGGCTAGGATAAAGGAATTAAAAGAAAAAAAGACGGAGACAAACTGCCTTAATAGAACTGTTACACGGAAGACTACTCCATAGATCAATTAATGCTGTACTCATTGGAAATCAATAATTAGAAAACTAAGAAAATCAATCAACAGCATTCGACAAATCAGTTCCTCAATGATCAGGAGGAACCCTTAGTGTGACGAACTAGAAGCGCTAAAAGGTGACAACAAACCCCAACAGGAAGTTACTACACCCTACACCGAAACGAAGCCAATCTTCCACGAATAAAGTTTTAAGATTGTCTATATTGTCTAAACTATGCAATCGAAAACTTTCAACACAAAAAGGTCCCACATTTTCATAAGTGATAGAAATTGAAAAGAGCCCATGAGAAACAGTACAAAAGAACCCATGAGAAACAGTACAAAAATAGAAAATTACTTGTTAGTGATTGTTAGTGATAGCAATCAAATTCCATCAAATTATTTCACTTAGATATTCCTCACTGAGAGGTAATTAATTTATAAAGATATTTCAAAAAGACCAAATAAAATCGACATCTCACTTCTAAATCAGAAAAAAAAAACTATCACCTCATTTAAAACTGCTCATTAATATAGGCCAGAAAAGCGATCAGAAAAATAAATATGTCTGACTTATGGCTATGCGGGGATGCACTGTGAGTGTATACTGAATCTGTCAGCAAAGCTTGACTGAACTCATTTCTTTGCCTCTAAAAAAATTGAAATAGCATTTTTACAATTTTATTAAAAAAGGCTATAATAAATAAAGATAAATTTCAAAAAAAAGCTTTTCAATGAAACTGCTGCTTGCATGTCAATTATCTACGCACATTTTTATTCAATCGGATTCGAAATTTTGCAGCTATTCTCATATCAATAAATATCAATTTAAATGATTAACAATATCTGGAAATGAAAAAGTGACTTTTTTTCAATCCAATAAAGATAAAGTATGACTTATTCAATTTTCTATAAAGAGAAGTGAGATCAGTCCAAGATTTGAAAATAGCACAATAGAGAAAATTGAAGTTACTACAGAACTAATATCCTGTTGCACATACATTTCTTGCTTTTTGGAGATTGACTTAATGAGCTTTAATATAGGAAAAATAATTTAGTAGCTGTCTTGAATCGTCTCATTCAGAGCAAATTATTATAAGGAAATAAAAATTTTTCAACCATAGTAAAATAAAAAATTTTTTAGAAAGGGTTTTAGATTTTATTATTTAAAATCAAAACTTGACGAAGCAGATTTCTATATAGATTTGACTATTTTACAGACCTTCATGTAATTTAAGGAAAATTTTGCAGCCCGTAAGTAGACCCATCCTCATAATTTCTCATTTCTCAATGAATTTTGGCTGAATGTAACTCTGCTTTAAGTTATGACTCATTGTCCAATTGTAATTTACTGATCCTAGTCACTTTTACATTATACTGAAATGAAATAAATCACCAAAAGAGCTTCTGAATTCATCGCTACACGTCATCCGCTTAGCGTAAGCAAATCATTCCAGCAGTAATACAACAAATATCGCAAAAATAGCCATCCATTGTCTTTTGTCATTTCCATTGCTCAATTCTGCAACGTACTTCACATCAAAACAAACAAAACAAACGAAAAAAAAAACTACCCCTCAACGACCAATCTCGACTTGCAAACCCGATAGCAACCTCGAGAAAGCAAGACGGTCCGCGGTACTTCTACGTCCCAATATGCAACTCTTTCGATCCTGTACAATTCAACGGCAGTTATCGTAATATATTTGAATTTAAGCAGGGAAACAAAAACAAGTCAATATAAATGATATGTAGAAACTTATCGATGACATTGAAAAGACTTACGATGAAATCTTTGAAATCTATTTGTTTTGAAGTATCCGAGAATCTGCGATCATTTGAATAACACGTAGTCTGCAAATCAAAACGTCAATTGAGTGGTTAATAAATGAAATTGATAGATGCATGCATTTTTTAGCAATAGCAGTTACTCTGTTGGAAAAATTAAAATAAATCTAAATTTAAGTAAAAATTATTTTAATTGTGATTTGAAAAAGATAAGAAAATTCATTCAGTTAGGGCAGGAATAAGAAATCGACACCTAAAATAAAATGCATAAACAATGCATTTCATTGAAAAATTCACTATTGATGTTATAATATTTAAAAATCTTTCTCATTCTAGTTCTTTAATACAGTGACGAATACAATTTAAGAGAAATTTCTCTCAACTGTTTTGTTTTTAGTTCACTTTTTATCATTTCTTTAATTGGCTGAGGAATATTTATTTTATTTCACGAATTTTACCGAGATATTTGGTCGTGTTTGGTGGATACAATGATGATAAAAACAAAAAATTTTGTCATTTCTTGCTCAGATATCAATCAGTGACAGTTGTTGGAAACGATCTGAACTCTAAAATTGATCGATCCTAATAAAGTATGATCAAAAATGGAGCTGTGAAGGAGGTGAAGGAAAGGATATGAACAAAAATGAAATCGCAATTTTGATTTCGATGCTTCATAAAAGATGATAAATCCGGTAATTCTTTTTTGAACGAAAAATATTTTCGCATTTTTTATAATCAAATAAAGCATATAAAACAAGAATATCATCATATTGCTTTCGCAATAATTTTAATTTGAAAGCCGAAAGTCAAGGAGTAACTTCTGGAAATTTTTTTCAAAGGTTATTAAAGAAGATAATAGTTATCAGTAAAAATTGAATTGATAAGAGTTTTGATTCAATATAGTAGAAGTGAGCCAGAAGAAAGTGTTCAATCGGCTGAACAATGGTGCCGGGGAGGGGTGAAACTTGAAAATGGGATGACATCACTTTTGATGCGGTGCCAACTGGGAAATTCAAAAGTTTTTCCAGAACATTTTCGGAAAAATTTCAATGTCCAAATCTTACATATATTGAAGTTGTAAACTGAATTTGTTGTTATCAGCTGTAACAACTTAGTCCGCAGATGTCCATTCTTTTTCTTACATGCCGAATACATCCGCCTTCCATCGATAAGAAAATTGCCCTCCTTAATTTTCCCCAGCAAAATATCAGATGTAACCGATAGTGCAATAACAAATGATACAAAAGGATCGTAACTGTTTCCACCTGACTAAATGACAATTGTTTTTGCTATTAAAGTAGCATATTTTGCTGACTGATTTACAAATTTCTGGATAGGTATCAATCAGATTTTATTCTATAAATCTTTTATCTATATCACTTCAAGTTTTAAATCCATTGATAATTCTTCAGCACTTGGATGAATTTTTTTAT